AAGTAGGTACCTGCGTTTGCCGATTGTTACTAAATTAAGCAACACATCACAGTAAAGTAGGCTACATACGTTTGGTGGTTGCGACTGAATTTAATTTAATGTAAAATAATTTCTTAAAATCTAAATGCAATGGCCTAGATTGGCCTAGAAGATAAATACATCTTCGTAAACACGATCTACAAAATATACATTTCTCATGGATTTACAGCATATTTTCATTTAACTTTTAATATTTTTGCAACTTTATTGAATGTATTAATTGCTAGATATTTTCAGTTATAATTTTAATGAAGTTTCTAGATGATTTAAAAAAATATTTTGTAATAATTAGGCTTAATTACTTGGATTTGGTTAATTTTCCAGAGCTAACGAATGATGAAAATACAAGTTTTTTTGAAAAAAAAAACCTTTAGTATTAGATGAATTAGGTACGACGGCGTGGTCGGGTAGTAGGGCTCCCAACTGCTGGGTCTTGAGTTCGGATCTCGATCAAGTCTAGAGACTAAGGGACTGAGTCCACCCAGCTATAATGGGTACCTGACTAACGTTAGGGGAAGTGAAGGCTGCTGGGCATAGTCCTGACCGTAACAACTCTTCATATGCCGAAGTCAAGAAACATAAACTCTACTTCATCTGCCCTTTGAATGTTGAGATTTGAAAGGGGAGCTTTAAAGTACTTACACGATACAGTAAATATATTGTTCACGTGGTATATCGAGGCCTATTGTGTTTTACACTGCATGTGTTTGTTTTAACCTAGTTTGGAGTGGTGTGTCAAATATTGTCTACACGCATCCTACCACTGGAGTCGCTGGCTGATGTCTTTAAAAAGAGTTTGACCAAAAGTGGAAGCGGTCTAAAACAGGTAAATTAAATACAACGCATTTAATTAAACGCTTTGTAAATTTTTATTAAAGCATTGCATGTTATTTATTACAAGGTTTTATTTAACTTGCTTCCTCTGTCCGTCAGTGGTACTTTGTCATTGATCGAAACTGCCGAGCGAAATTTCGAGCACTTTTAATTGGCCGATTAGATTAAAACTTGGCACGTGGGACATTGCCCGATGGCAATGCAATCTGACATAAAATTGGATGACTAATTATTTTTAGCGCAATTTCCATTCTGGAGAATTGCGATTATTAACTCGACATTTCTGGGAATGGATGTCCGCAGCTTTAAGTCGCTTTAAGTCGTATCTCCTCCTCAACGAAGCAATATCGAGGACTAGTTCCAAAGCAAAAATATTAAGCAAGTTCCAAGGATGATTGTGGGCCAAAAAAATTCCCGGGTTTCCTTCCTGGATTTCCCGGAAAAGCCAAAAAACCTCGAAAAAATGCAGTTTTTGGCCCATATCTCGGCAACCAGACCACTTAGCGACTTGAAACATTTACCAATCTATTTCTGCCATAATTTAGAACACTATTGCCGAAGAAAGTTTTCAAAAATATCCTTTCGTTCGGTCACAAAAAATTAATTTCTTCTCATTTGTATTAGCTAAGATTACTAAGAATATACAAATATTTCTACCACAAGCACAGCGGCTGAGGCAGTCGCTAGTGAGAGGTAACGTCAAGCTGCCATTGGCCAGACTCGCGCAGATCTCGCGAGGGGGCGGGGACTAGCTCTGAGAGAAACGAAAAGGGGTGCAATTATCTGCGGGTGATTCGTTCGGTCACAAAAAATTAATTAAGGAAATTGCGCTTAAATTGTCACTAGACTTTTTATTAACTTGTTTTGTAATGAATACAGCGTGGTTCTCTTCCTACATGTTAATAAAGGTAGGCCTATCCAATAGATATTATAGTGACCCACGAGTATTGTGTATTATTATAAATTTAAAAAAAAGTTATTTTTCTCCCTTTTTTGGCGCATTACTAAATACAAGCCTGTTTTTTTTTAAGCATTTTGTTTTACTCTTATGTGACGGTATAGTTTTTGAATTTTCAGATGGAATATTATTCAGAAAATCTGCGAATTATTGGTAAATATAATATGTATTTTTAGTAAGTTGATTATAACAAATTTGATTTGTTATTGTTAAATAACTAGCTGCATTATGTATTGCTACAAATTGTATTTTTAACATTTTTCATCGCTTGCTAATGAAAAACTTTTAGCACTTTAGAAACTCTATCATCGAATTTCATGCGGGCCATAAATCCTATTTATTTCTACCATTAATACCAGAAATAAAAAAACTTAATCAAATTCTAGGCTTAAGTAAAGCTTTTACCTAACACAAACGAACAACACTATTTCTTTTTATTTCTCATTGGTTAAATCATAACATGCGTATATGAAAGATTTTTTTCATCATGATTTAGCAACCAAAGTAAAATTGAACAGTATCGAAGAGAAGTTGAAGAAAACCATTGAAGACGTTCGAAAGATTGAAGTACAAAACGTGTTATCTTCTGAAAATTGTAAAAAGTTGAATTCAACTTTGGAAAACAAGGTAACTGAACAGTCAAATGACTTTATGCGTAAGGTGGGTATCTTGAACCAAATGTTTGGTTATTCTCAAAATCTATTTAGTGTGTGAATAAAAAAATATATTTAAGTCAATTTTTCGTTAATTTATCATTATTGGTTCTCTCGTTATATATTAAATCTCAGTGGACATTTAAAAATCCCGTTTACTCCAGTCTCGTTTCTGTAAATAAAAAAGACAAATTTAAATCTGAAATAAAAAATTATTCAATAAAACTTGTATTTCCAGCAGCAAGAAATGTTAACAAAAGTTGTAAGTCTTGGTAAGTATGATATATTTATATTCACACTTTGTTAAATACACTTTTTAATTGCATAAAGGTAATATCGTCTGTAGTTTTTTTTTAAAAATGCGTATTATTGAAATGAAATAAAAAAATAGAAATGATTACCCCTTCGACACCCGCACTTCAAACGCAGCTGATGCAAGAGATGGTTTACGTGTTTTGAGAAAAAACACCAACGGAAATTAGTAGGACCAAATTGATCTTTTAATTTAAAAAATCTTCACATAAACAACTGTCTTATTTTTTAAAGATATACGCAGATCAGCGACAACTTTCGTATTATACTTTTGAAGCTAATAAAGAATAATAATTCAAAATCAACATTTTAATCTGTGATTATAACAGAAAAATTAAAACAAAATTCTATGTTGGCGAATCAATTTAAAATTTAAAATTTTAACAAAGCTTACAAAATATATCTCTATTAATTTATGAAATAATTATTGATTTTTCTCTCTATTTTGTGCTCTAGATACACGAGTGAATCACAGATACACCTGTCAAATTTACTTTAAAGACAAAACTAGTACAAAAACGGGTTCAACTATTTCACCATTTGCTGACGTCATCCAATATAACGGCCAGCATTTCAACAAAGATTCCGGCAAGTTTGTATCACCTGGAGATGGCGTATACCTCGTATGTGTGACTCTGCACCAAGACGTCAACAAAACGATTCAGGTTGCTGTGTTGGTTAGAGACGTAAACAAACACACATTCTTAAAGAAGAGAATCTGTGTGAGATCATCCTACACTAGCGTCGGTACAGCTCTGGTTGTTGACACGGTGAAGGACGACGAGCTGTTTCTAGCGGTGGAGAAAGCTGACGACGGTGCCGTGTTGTCATCACGTAGTCATGTTTCTATTGTTGCTTTATAAGAGACGAGCCGACCCGCGGCATATCATACGCCGCTATTTAGTTGTTTTATTTTTTACTTTTCAGTAATTCATAATTTGTGAATTCGACAGTACCAATGCTGTAACTGAAAATATTTGCTTTAAAACACTATCAGTAGCTCGTTAAGGACGATAACCCCCCTCCCTCCTTTCCCCAAATCCCTACCTTCCCCCCCCCCCCCCCACTGAAAGCAGCCTCTTTTTAGTTACCTCCCCTAAGTTTAAAATCCTTTCAAAGTACATTAACTGCCCCTAATAGCTGTCACTAAACCCGGCTCTACGATTGTAAACATTTAGCGTGAACCACAGCTCACCAGACCATGTGGGGGTGGTAGGGATAGGGATATAGTGGGGGTGGTAGGGATATGCCTAGAGAGGAAGAGAGGGGACTGCAAGGCGCGCTCACAGCTTGGTGTTTTCTAACGTCTCAAAGAAGATAATTATATATATAGATTTTACACTTTCAGATTTACTAAATTTGATATTATAAGTACAAATATTGAAGGCATTTTATAAATAACCCTTACCGTATCACATCCATACGATCCATACATTGGATTTTCATGATTATTAGATTTTAATTCTATTAAACCCATTAACAGATTCTGTAACTAAATTATGAAAAGAATATGAAAACGTGATTTTAATTTTTGAACATTTTTTAATTGACTGTCATAAAGTTTTTAATTACTATTTTCATAAATTATATTTGTGAGATATATTAAAATGATTTAACTTAACTAATCATTAAATGACTAACTAAACTTTAAGTTCATTTCTTTAAAGCATTTGAATTGAAAAATAACCGCTGTTGTTTATTAAAAAAATAAAATCTTAAATATAATGACGACAAACCCAAAATACTCTAAAAATTTGCCATGAAATATTTTTTTTGAGATCAATTGTCCAGGTATGTTTTGTCCTGTTTTATGACCGTGAGATCATATTTTATTGAGATAATTTGTTCTAAAATATTTTGTCCATGAGATATTGTTTTGGGAGATTTTTCTGAGATTATTTTTCATGTATCATGCATTTTGAAAAAAAAAAACCTCGTTGGATATATTTTAAGTTATCTTTTACTACAATTCATCTAGTTGTTAAAATAATGTCTTATTTACATCGATTACGAAATGTAATACAATTACAATTTTATAATCAAATCAGTTTACTTTAATGCATTTATTCTGTTTTTAAGAGTTTGTGACTAAGTGTAAGACAGGTAATGTTTAGGTGATGTTACTGAAGTTTTAGTTTTCTGTTTATAATAGCCGAACGTTGCGTTTACTTTGTTTTGATCAACTACACACCAAGAAGAAAATTTGATCAACTACACACCAAGAAGAAAATTTGATCAACTACACACCAAGAAGAAAATTTGATCAACTACACACCAAGAAGAAAATTTGATCAACTACACACCAAGAAGAAAATTTGATCAACTACACACCAAGAAGGAAATTTGAGCAGCTACACAACAAGAATAAAATTTGATCAACTACACACCAAGAAGAAAACACGAAAAACGAATCAGGTTACACGTTTTACAGTTTGTCCACGAGTACAACTGATCGCCCGACTTCATCCAAACGACAAACGTTCCAGTCTCGTGAACAGATTTATCTTTTGTCACAACATGGACTGGACAAGACCCTACGTCACCAGATATAAGTAGGGCGCTGGCCGCCACAGCCTGATCCCCGGCCTGTTCTATTGTTAGACTTGCTAAGTACAGGCCGTCAACAGGGGCGGTGAACTCACCAGTGTTGGGGTTAAAATGGTTTCCTAGGTTACGCTCTACACGTAGATATGGTATGGCGTCAAATAACTCATCGGTGTAGCCATCAAAAGCTGTAAAACCCAGTGTAGAATGTTTCACTGGCTGGTTGGCTACGGGGAAAAAAAATCTGGTCATTAAAATAATTAGACAAGAAAATTATCCGAACTTTAAATATGAGCATAAATTAATTAACTTGATTTGAGATTGTAATTGATTTTTAAAATCAATATTATAAAAAAGTACACTAAGTATAGTGATAACAAATAACTTATTAAGGTCTTTAAGAATAATTTGATTCATAGAGAATATTTTCTTTATCTAAGAGATCCTAAACCAACATACAATTTTTACCTCCTTGAAGGGGTCTAATCACGTGGTTAATATATTTACTGGACTACAAGCGCGTCTAAAGCTAATATGAAGCTACTGTATGGCGTTTCAATTTTGAAAGAAAATATTTCATTACACCTTTTATCATATTGGTGAGAAAAAGACACTGTTCCTGCTTATTTACAGTTCCTTATATTTACTACTTGATTATACTGCAATAATTTGTTTACTATATTAAATAGCACTCACTTAAATATGCTTTTTATAAGCGTTAAACAGAACAAATCGAGAGGATTAAAATATGCCACGGTAGATTTTTTCGGGTATTGCCAAACAAATATGAAATTTTATATTTACATTCTGCTTAAAATTGTAAAACTCTCTTTATAAGTGTAATAAACAATAAAATTAAAACGATAATTTATTATGTCAACTTATTAAACATTTTACCAACAACTGTACAAATAAATATAAATTTACTTACCCATCGAACTAAAGTCCTGTGACAATTTTAAAAGGTCTTTTTCAAGTTTTTTAATCTATGAACAAAAAACAGCTTTATATCAGTGTTCTAAATTATCAAATACAGTGATGTTTGGACATGATAGCAAATATTCAGGTCAATTTATAAAAGAAATATGTCTATGTATGATACCTTAGAAATTCTTTCCTCACTAGTTCCAAAGTTTTGATTAAACATTTGAAACAGTTTGTCTAATGGTGCCAATCGTTGCTGAATCATCCGACAGGTGATTGAGTGCTAAATGGAAAAATCTAGTTTATTGTCTTGATAAAACAAATGCAAAAGTTATAACTAATGAAATGTACTGAAAATAAAAGTAAAGCAGATAAAGATTAGAATGCAATAACATTGTTTAGAAAATTTTGATTTTATTTGTTAAACTAATGATTTCCACTATCAAATTACCTTGAAAAATAAACCCTCTATTTTGTTAGTCATATAATTCTTATTTTTTTGTAGAACAGAAATTTTATCAGACCAGCTTTTTATTTCTTGTGTCAAGTTGTCTGATGTTTCTTTGTTAATTTGCAAATCGTTCTTTATTTTCTGTAAGCTGTTTTCGTATTCCTTCACATCTTGAATTAGTTTCTCTAGCGTTGTATTTGATTTAAATTCTCTTTGTTTTAAAATTTTAATTTCATTTTTAGCTCCTCAAGTGTACTATCTTGTTCACTCATTATTTTTCTTAAATCTTCAAAGTTTTGTTTGTGTTCTTTAGACGAAAGTTCTATTTTTATTTCAATGTCGTTTCGTTCTGTCTGAGAGTTGTTTTTCCATTTTTTAATTTCCGACAGCTCGCAATCAGTCTTCTGTTTCGAGTCATGAAGTGCCGACAGGGATGTTTCAATATGATCGAGTCGCTTGGCTATTTTTGAGTAAACTACATCTGTAAGTTTTAAAAGAAAGTAAATCTTGTGTTGATATAGTAAATAATTCTTAAAAATAAGAATTTATTGTTAAACAAGATATTTTAAATTTTGAAATTAAAATTTAGAAATCTATAAATAGAAAACTCAAAATATAAATTGTTCAATACAGTCAATATATATTTTGTGTGTCAACAAATCATTTAGACCGAGTCAACATACCAGCAGTCTGATCGTTTGATGCAAGTTCAGCTTCTGTTTGCTGTTGTTGTTGTTGTTGTTGTTGTTGTTGTTGCTGTTGTGTCTTTTCTTCAGTCGCCTCATGGGGGTTATACAGAGTGTTGGAAACTGTTAAACGTATGCACATTAAATTCATACAGTGAAGAAAAAAAATAAAATTACTAATCATAATTTAAATAAACCAATGATTCATGGACAGTGCTACCTATTTAATAAAATTATAATATCGTTACACTGAATTAGCTATAATACATTTATATTTTTTACATTTTCTACTTTAAACCAAGTAGGTAACTATAAATAAAACATTTCCATTTACTTATGGATTTTGTCCATTTTCTACCTCATATCAAATAGGTGACTATAAGTAAAATATTTCCATATATTTTGTTTTTACATTTTCTACCTTATATCAAGGAGGTAACTATAAACCAAATATCTCCTTAAACAGAAATCAGTGCTGATATTAATTAAAAGTAAAACCAAACAAAAATTAAAGAAACACACCAGTTAACATATCAATGTGCTCTAGTATTGTATGTTGCGCTGTTGTTATCATCACGATGGCATCTTTGACTGACATGGAAGTCCCAGATGTATTGTTTAGACATTCTTTCGTTGCGTTTTTAATCTATAAATACAGTTTTTTTAGCTTTAACAACATTATATGATATTATTATGTCATTATATATATATATATATATATATATATATATATATATATATATATATATATATATATATATATATATATATAATATAGGGCCTATATATAAATATATATATATATATTATATATATTTATTCTTTGTTCACTGAGGACCCCCTATAAGCCCTATAGAACCGCCTATGCTGCTAGGTCATAAGCGGGTAATTAAACACACTAATACTTAGAACACAAAACATGTAGTTTACCTGCTTCTCAAAGGCTGTGATGTAAGTCTGTAAGTGTAAACACGATTCTTCAAACAGCTCGAGTTGAGAGTTTAAAATTTTCTTTGAGTGATGGGACATCTGCAGGAAATGTTATTGGGTAAACGTTTTTAAGTGTTACACGTATATTATTTAGTACCATTAAAAAAAACAACTAAAACTTGATTGCCTTGCTTAATACGTATTGCTTTATGTACCAGTCTAGCCATTTTATCGCAATGTTACCGACTTCTACCGAATCGATTTATTACAAATGACATTTAGGGCAAGATGCGATGAAACTGCAATGTGACACGCTTTGTCATAATTTGATGGTAAGTCGATTGTGTTGTAATTTAGTAATGAATCCGTTATAAAGAATTGTCACCCCACTAAATGGTGTCACTCGGTGCGGTCCGCACCCCCCCCCCCTCGCCCGCCCTCGCTACGCCTCTGCGTGTAAGTGTATGGGCTTGGTGCCGACCTCACTACCCTTTCTTAAGCCGAGGTCACAGAAACAGGTAAACTCTACCTCACTTACCCCATGGACCGTCAGGTTCGAAAGGGAACTAGACTTTTTAAAAATATATTTATTATATTTACATTTCGAATGGTATGATGTATATGTCGGGTTTTTATTTGAATTTTATAAGCCTAGGCAGACAAAAAGGCTAAAAAATTAAAATATCAAAAGTTATAGTCTATTAAAACTGACCTTTAGGAATTAATATTATGTATTAACTTAATTGAAGAACATTCTTTAAAAAAAAATCTCAGAAAGGTAAACAAATACGCAGACCTCTTGAACTTTGAACTGCTTAAAACTATCATATCGGGAATATCCAATAGTTATACAGTATTTTGTTTCGTTTTTATATAATGAATTATCATCTGCAAACTTTTAAATGCCGAATTGTATAGACTTCATTGACATGAAAGGTTTACATTAAACTTTTGTATTAATTTAGGATTTTTACTGTCCAGCTTTGAGCAACTCTATTTGCATATTCTATTGATGTGTTATGTTCGACTTGCGAACTCTTTTTGTAAACAATACAAGTACACAAATAAACAATCATGTACTTTCTAGACTTTCTACACATCTTGTTATTGCCTGCCAGTTGCAAAACCTACTATTTTAGACAGGGCGATCTATAGCGTAGATGAAGTAGAGTCAGAGGTGTAGCGAGGGCGGGGCGGGGGGTGCGGACCGCACCGGGTGACACCATTTTGGGGGATGACAACATGGCAAAAAATTGCAAATATACAGAAGAAAAATAAAATGCTTTTTGCAAGTACCATAAAAGATGAATTAAAGTTAAATAGTCTGTTAAATACAAATCGACAATTTTTACGGAACGGTGGAATGACCCATATATATATATATATATATATATATATATATATATGTGATGACGCAAGGTTGCGTCGAGCTCAGGTAGATAGCAGAAGCAGGCTATATCAAGTTGGTCAGACTAGTCAGAGAGAGAGACCAATAAAAATACGTGAACTGACCGGTCACGTGGGACGGTCAGCTGACCACTGAAGCGTGGGCCACTGTTAGGCCGGGAGATCATGATTAGCTAGCGAGGGCAGAAGGTGTTAGGTTGTAGAATGGAGCAGACGTAGTTATGTAGAGAACAGTTAGAATGTAGATAGTGGTAGGATTGGTCATGGAAGGGCGTGTTAGTAGAGTTAGTAATAGTAGTGGTAATAGATATTATTTAACAGGCTAGTTAGATAGGACATTGATTTATAATTTTAATAAAGAACTTTGTATTTGGAACTTGAACTGTGTGTTATTGGATTCATTCGTTTCGCATCTTAAAAATCCCCACCCTCACAACTGGTGCAACAACAAGAAGAACTACAAACAAAGATTCATTTCGTACCATCACAACTGGTGGTAAACCTCTTCAAAACACCTGTACCCTCACAACTGGTGGAGCTGCGGGTCGAGGACAGGAAAGACAGTATATCGGTTTACTCATGACGGAGTACATCTGGTGTACAGCTTTCTTCAACTCAACACAACAGCGGGTTTCTTCAACCGGAACGAGTGGATTACCAATACAAGGGAACAGTCACCATGTTCAAAAAGATAAGTACCTTCCATCATTTTTTTTAAACGTTTGGGTTTATACCCGTGCTGGATAGTTTGTGCCAGCGGTTTTTCTGCCTTACACATTCTATTGTTACGCACTGTTGCCTTAGTTATTTTGCCTTTCCTCAACACACACACATACACATACACAACCATGGAGGCAGAGTTTCAATGCTATAAAAACAGGGCATACCATTAGACAAAACAGGAGAAGAAGTTGAAACATTTGTAGAGAATAAGTTAGAAAACAAGATAGTCAAGATAGTAAGACATGTCAAGAACAAAAGCAGAGTTAGCGATAGAATTAGTGAAACTGGAAGTACAGCACATAGATAACACGCAACTGCCCTAGAACATCAACCCCATGATCAAGAATGTGACCCGGACCTTCCCCATAAATGATTTTGAACAACGGACATAATTGTGAAGTCAAGTCGAGTTTTTGTGTTGATCTAAGTAGTCGAAAAAATCGGCATGAGGTCGATATAGTTGAAGTCGAAGTCAGTGTAGTCAATCTGAAGTCAATAGTGTTATTGAAGTCAGTGAAGTATAAGTCAGAACTGAAGTCAAAGAAGTTATTTGAAGTCAGTTAAGTCAGTCAATAAGTTATTGACGTAGTCATGTTGCAGTCAAAGAAAAGTCTTTGAAGTTATATTAAAGTCGTTGAGGTCATAGTGAAGAAGTGAAATCGTCAAAGTTATAGTGAAGTCTTTGAAATCAAAGTGATGTCGTTGAAATCTTTGAAGTCAAAGTTAAAGTCTTTGAAGTTGAAGTAAGGTTAATCTAAGTCAGTCGTTGAAGTCTTTGAAGTCATATTGAAGTCGTTGAAGTCAAAGTGAATCCTTGAAGTCATATTGAAGTTGTTGAAGTCAAAGTGAATTATTTGAAGTCATATTGAAGTAGTTGAAGTCAAAGTGAAGTCTTTGAAGTCATATTGAAGTAGTTGAAGTCAAGGAAAAGTCTTTGAAGTCAAAATGAAGACGTTTAAGTCGTCGAAGTTTAGTCAGTCAGTGAAGTCTTTTAAGTTGAATTGAAGTGAAGTCGTCGAGGTCAAGTTAGTCTTCAAAGTGAAGTTAGTCGTCAAGTTGAAGTAATTGAAGTCGTCAAAGTGGAATCAGTCGTTAAATTGAAGTCAGTCACGTTACTGAAGTCAAAGTGAAATAAGTCAAGTTACTGAAGTCATAAGTGAAGTCAGTCAATTAAGTCAAGCCAGCCAGTTTTTTGTCAGAAGTCAGATAGTGAGAGCTGCTCCACTATATGATTTGTGTTGAAATATTGATTTGAAATGGCAGAATATTATTGATATACACTCACATGTCTATTCTTTTTGTGAAGCTATTTCTAAGCTCTAGTAGTGTTTACGTCTATTGAGTTTATTAGGCTTTACAGATTGTTGTTAGATTAGAGTGTACTGATTTTTTATTTGGTTAATTTTGTAATGTTACTTTTGTATGCTGTATGTACCGCCAGACAAATGTTCAGCACGTTTAATGGGATTGAGGTTTTTTTTTTAATGGAAGGTACCTCTGTCTGAATACTTGTCTGCGCGGGCACTAAATTGTTCACGTAAAGCCATTGCTTATAGTCTCGAAATACCATTTTCAGACCCACTACGCTTATTCAGAATGAGACGAGATGAAGCAGACACTTCAAAGAAGCCGCCACCTGAAGCCCTGATTACGTTGAATTACCTGGTCATCGAACAGCCCTGCTGAACAGAGAATTGCCCTGGTCAAGACAGCGGACACATCGCCACCGCTTCGCCCCACCCTGGAGTTGAATAACAGACCGCCAGCTACATACACCTACGTCGGCACATACAAAGGGTAGAAGACCCATCGTCCAAGTTCCCAGCGTCGGAATGTTACGTCATTGTTCGCCACCGCATCAGCCAGCTCCAGTTCATCGTATAACCACTCTACGTGGACATCTCAACCAGCGTTGAGTTTGTTGCGTCATCACATTGACCAACGAAAGTTACGCCTACACCCGCCTCACGGGAATTTACATCAAAACTCGCCACAACCCACCCACCACAGAGGAACGCAAGCAATTACATAACACTTAC